TTTCGATTCCCCGGTTGTATGTGACAAGGAGTAAGGTCGCCTGCCCAAATTCGTGGATTTTCTCCGGGTCCTCCGGTTTCCTCCCACTGCTAAAGACCCCTACGCGCAAGCGAATTATTGAAATAAAATTGAACCATATGTTAGTCCCGAAATAACCTAGTTTGTGTCGAGTGGACGTTAAACCCCATCTCTCTCTCTCTCCCTCTCTCAAAAGATTACGACGCTTTGAAATAGTTGTCAAAATAATTTACAGGGGTTCCGTAACTCTTTTAATGGCTAGCCTACACTTTAGCAAGTAACAAAATACGATCCGTTTTCAAACTTTGTCAATAGTTTACTAAAATACAATTAAACATAACAAGCAAGATAGGCCCAGATTTTGCAATAGATGGACGGAGAACTGTGAAATAGGGCTCATCCTTTCATTGCTCAAATGCTCCACATCGAATAAATCTGTTAAAAACTGTAGCCTGTAGGGACAGTAATCCATGAAGTTACGGTCCGATACATGTTATTATAGAAAGGAACCGAGATCTTTGTTATATAAACAATATTTCAAGTTTCGTCCAAAATCGGATAAAAAATGGGACCTGTAGAGGGTACCCAGAAAAATGTTACCGGATATACGAACGTACGGGCACATCTACGGACATGGGCGACGATATAATACGTCTACATATAAATGATATAAATTACACGCTGAGCACCCCCCCCCCACCACGCCCCCGCTATGACTTAAACAATCAGTCAGATCTCGGCTGAAAGGGTCAAAGACGTGGCGAGGTCTTCGTTATGTGTGAAGGGTAACTGCTAGAACAATTGACAACTGGATATTGGTATTTCTTCGAAACGTATCACAGACAGTTGCTTTGGACTCTGAAGTATATCTTATAAAGTCATCAAATGATTCACCTCTAGATACCGTTTTGGAAGTTCAACACGCGCCTAATGCAAAATTAGCTTTGAGAAATTAGCAAGAAGGAAGTTTGTTTGTTTCGGGGTTTTTTGCCGGGGGGGGGGGGGGTAGTATGGAATCGATTTGATTTGGTTGCTAGGGATTGATGGTGTGGGTGGTGTATATTAATTTTAAAATAATTTTTACATAGGTTTTTATTTACTCAATGCTTGTTTTATATTACTTGTGACACCCTATGATTTATAATTATTACAGGACAAGATCGATTAATAAATATTTTTTTAAGGGCAGGAGGTTATGAATTTGACAAAAGGACATTAATCATTACAGGACAAGATCGATTAATAAATACTTATTTAAGGGCAGGAGGTTATGAATTTGACAAAGGGACATTACTCACTAATATTCCTTATAGAACTGAACTAAGGTACCTAAGAACAATCCTGCAATGTAGAACTATAATTGACCAGTACGAGACGATTTAAGATTTTAATATACAATAGACAGTAAGTAAGTCGGTGGTTAACAAACCACGAGATCCTAGTGTCGGTCGAGAAAGTTGCATCTGGATTTTTGAGTGTAGTTTCACCTTATCAGTAGTGGTGCAGGACGATGGGCCAACAAAGGAAGAACTTCTAGTCGCTTGGGTAAATCTAAAACCCGCGACGTTACTTCGATGTTATAATAACGTACAGACAGAAGTTCCAGACATATAACTTTTGTGTTTACAAACAAGTACAATTTATAATTTCCACTAGATCTGGAATAAAAATTGCAATTATCGCCATCCGCAATAAAGCATATAATTCCATAACCATTTTTGATTATACTGTCATTCTAATGATGTTCTATAGTTTTTGCATAAAAATTACAAAGCGAAACGTATCAGAATTATTTAATTATGAATATTAACGATAAATCTACAATGTGGTTAGGTGTAGATTAAGTTGTCGATAGTTGACTGACCTCCAAAAATTGACGAGAAAAGATTCATTGCCTTTGATCTTATCTTGAACATTTTTCATTTCATGTAATTATGGGATTAATATCTCCAGACAAGCTGTCCCCAAACCCAACACAAACAGTCTACTAATTTTGCTACGAAACAATTGGTCGGTGATCATCAGCAATATTACTATCAAACTGTGTTAAGTATTGCCTCTAGTACTTATACGATTACCGTTTATCCGTAGTTACATACTATTGTGGAGCATTTTCCCTTGAGGTATTTGTTAATAATAAATTTGTCAATCGTCCTATTTAATTTATTATGCTTAAAGGAAGGAACGTGAATGAGGTATAACACAATCCTGTGGCAAGTTTGAGACTCATTTCTTTTTTATTGATTTGCAAAGGTAGGCGAACTTTGCCGGGACAGTGGTGTCTCCGCATTTCCTTTCGCGCAACAAGCGGTTGCCATGCAAGATACGACCACAGTTTACGGACAATCAGGGGCCATAATCAAGGACGTTAAGGTCCGATATGCGCCAATATCGAAAGGAACCGAGATCTGTGGGATGAAAACATACTTTTTAAGTTTCGTCAAAATCGGATGAAGTAACGGTCCGATGAAAATGTGGGCGTATAAAAACATATAATGGTACAGTGAAAGAAAGTGCTCACACCGATCTATGAGACCACGTACCGGTAGCCGAAACTTATAAAAGTTTTAAAAAAGTAACAATGTCTCCACGAAACTTAGGGCATATGACCAGTAAATTATACATATTCGTACTCTAGCACAACTGTAAGTTCATGAAAACTAATGTTTCAATTCGGACAAATCAACAAACATGATATTGACCCAGGTTGAAATGACATTTACAATGAACTAGTTTTCTCACCGATTTGTAGAAAAAAAATGTCTGAAAATTTTACTTGATGTCAAAATTGACTCCATTCCAATAAATCTTCCTGTATTATTACAACGGAGCCCGGACATTGATTAGTTGATTAAATAACTTAATGGCAACATTTGGTTTCATCAACTGAAAATCAATAACTCTTCACTTCAGATCATCCATCGACTGGCTGAAGGTCAGAGTAACTCGCCTATACTCACGAGGGTTATAATCGCAATTTATGCTACAAAAGAAGAAAATATATTTCCCTCTCTGCTCTTACCACTCGCAAATAATTCCTTAATATTAACGTTTTGTACAACTTTATGGATTGTGAATCATGCCTATGTCTAGACTGTGGTACAGAATACTTGTCTTCTTAACTTCAAAAGCATAGGTCAACCATCTATCACAGAGTTCAAACAAACAAAATTACACTTAAATAAAAATGAGTTATCTTAAATGAGATGTTTCTTATTACACTATTGAAAACTGTCTGTAACTCTGACTTCTTTCCTGTTCTGCGGACTACTCAAGCATTTCCAAATTCCCGGTCACCAAGAACAAATTACTTTAATCAAACTTTCTGGCGAACAAGGTCATAATGTCTTGTCTGTGTTAGATAACATTTAAAGATTCGTGTATAAGAAAGAACGTTGCTTCGATTCCATGGAATTTTTAAGCTTATGTGAGTACACGTAAGCGAACACAGACACCAAGGTATAAATTGCCTTGATGGCCAACGCCCACCAACACGTCGACCATTCCCCACTATCTATTTCATATTATTAAATTGTACATTTCCACCTGAAAAGTCTTTATTGAAATTTGCATATTTTAGTATTATTACTAATTTTAATCCCTAAAAATTCTTTAGTTAGCATACATTAGGACAGTATCTGTATTGTAGCATTCTGGTCGGTATTAGTATTGGTGAAGGATCTTATCCTTTCCATCTGCTTGTATGGAAGCAGACCACCATATAGCCCTGTTCAGAACATCCATTACACCGGGGTTTAAGCACATACTCTGTTGTATCAAAACGGTACGGTATCCGCCATCCGGTCCCGTACACAAATACCTAATATTTTGAGTATTGATGATTTCGTAAATCTTGGCCATTCCCTTTTGGAAGTCTACGAAGCTGCTTGTTTGGTGGTGTATTTCTCAGAAGCACCGTGTGGTGGCATATGCCAGGCAGAGTGTGCACCTTATTTAACTTTCCCACGAGAACGCCACCTATTACATCATCCTTTTGTATTTATTAACTTTGAATTCGATTTTTATCCGACGAATCTCGCTTTGATTCACTGGGCATTAATTTGTATATACAACATAGAAATAAATGTCTTCGTTAACATTGTAATGATTGCATACCCATTAAGAAAACATACTAATCTGTTCAATTTATTTCGGGCTGTTACTTGTGCCAGTAAATCAACAACATCATGGAAGTACCCGTAAGCCATAGGCATATTTCATACGCAGTACAGGTCAGGGCGGCATTTCCGATTCCGACATACATTAGCTCTTCCTAACATGAATGAACTACTGCATAGATTACTACAAAGACGCGTAGTAAATGTAGAATAACCACTACCAGGGCAAAAACCATACCCCCCCCCCCTCCCGTGGGGCAGGAACAATTCCGACCAGAAACGATTGCTCTGAAGAAAAGGTGATATGACCATTTGGAGTTTGCTTTAATAGATATTGATTCATCCCGCAATAGTTAGGCCTCGGAGATCACAAATATTATATTTGAAATATATCAGCTAAGATCGGGCCCACGATAGTTGTTTCATCTAATAATCAGTCCATATTTTATTGAATGTAGATAATGAAATTTTTATTGGGCTTGTTGTCAGACTCGCCATTAAAGAAAAGTAATCTACGTTTATTGGGGTAAATATAAGGATTGAAACATTCTAATGGCTTCGTTTTGGTCCAAGCAGGATGCTAATGTTACATTCTTAAAAAGAAAAGCAGGACGTATCGTAAACTGCAAACTGTACTCAAAGTAGTCACAGTGGTTCAGTGATGCGTTTGCGCGTAGGGATCTTTGGCAGTGGGAGGAAACCAGAGGACCCGGAGAAAACCTACTGGGTTGGACAGGCGATGCTATTCCTGACAGACACGATACAACGTCCACGCGCTAACCATTCGGCCATCCAACCCCTCTGGGGTGGACGAAAAAAAGATGTCCGTTCTATACGTTGGCTAGAACCATTGACAACTGGAATATGAAGTAAGTACAGACCGTAGCACCGTGTAACAAATGGTCCACTGGATGGCGTATGCTCGGTTGGAGCATAAAAGTAGGCCGTTAAACCCCATTCCATTTCAATTAACGTAAAGTAAAAGGCCGTTAACTTACCATGATGAAGTATTATGTTGTCTAGCGCCATCCACTTGGGCTTTACATGTTATCATATGCTCCTGATTAGGCCCTAACTGACCTGTTACCCAAAACTATGTCATTTTCAATAAGTATTAGTATTTCTAATCGCTGATCACAACTTGCTAAATCATAATTACTACACTGACCGAACAATTGTTTTCTGAAATGCCTCCTAATACACACCGAAAGTGTAACAATTTTATTGTGGGTAGGGTTGCAAACACAATTTACTCAAATATTACAGCCGACCTCCAAATTCGATCTTTGATGTAATGCCGATGAAGTTAAATTTGTCCTATGCGCGTAAAACCTATGGAAATGAATTTGTCCAAGGAAGCGTTGTTTCCACCCTCTTCAACTTGTCATTATTTATTTAAAAGGTATGTATGTTGCATGTATGATTTGTGTTTTATTTTCCAGTTAGAATTTCTGGTGTATGGTGTAGCTAAACTGCATTGGTTCTAGGTGTTGGTTGGGTAAGTTAATCTAACCGTGGTTTCCATTTTTCAGGACAGGGGGCCCTAGAAAATGGGGTTGATATTGAGAATAATTATCAATTTCCAAGTGATACCCCTTTGTCAGCAATAAGAAACTGACAAGGAGCGTATAGTCGTTCCTATCGAAAGAAATACAGAGGTCCCGTGTTCAATTTGGCGTATAGATAAAAGTGCCCTAGACCGATGGAATTCAGTTGCTGTCTGGGCTAAATGCTTGACTTTATTTGTCTGTTTGGAGCAGATAAGTAGCAGGTTAAACCCCATTTAATTCCTTAATACATGCAAATTTATAAATATCGGATATTCCCGGGTGTTTTTAATTTAAAATAGGATTTAATATTGCTTTGAGTTAAGAAACTCTTAATATTTTATTCCTTGATAGTTTCTCTGAATCAGGATGCTTCCTAGATCGTCCAAGAAAATTTCTTTTGGATTGTGCAGATCAATTTCCTCTTGTCGGGGTAGCAGGAAAAGTGCCTTATAGCACGGAAACGTGCCTAGATCTAATTGGACGAATAATCGAGGTCTCGTGCATACTATTTGAAGCACATATAAAATCCCAACAGTTGAAAATTGTAATAAGAGTAGGTCCTAGCACTGTTATGAGGGCAGAATTTTCGTCATAGGTACAACATAATGGATGTCTCTTCTCGTTAGCCATGATACCGTGCTGAAAAGTAGGATGTTAATTCTCATTTCTAGGCTTATCCAAGTCTATTCTCAGACATGTAGTAACTTTCCTTATAACGGCATTGAGTGGATTTTAAATCATGTCATTCCATTTTCCCAAGGCCTCACATATTTTCCCAGTTCTCCGCCTATCCCTTGTATAATGTGGGTATATCTTGCATGGCAACCGCTTGTCTAAAATGGAAAAACCAATTATCTTATAATTGGTTTGCATTTGAGCACATATCTGTGTAATAATTGTAACTAAATCTGCCGAGCAGGTATGGATGCTTTCATATGAGGTAAATGTTGCCCAGACAGTGCCACTTAGACCTACACTTATTTCTAATTCCAACTACCAAGGGTTATTTTTATCGCATGTACACATGGCCTCAATTTGTCACACTTTCCGAGCAACTAGATGCTGTTTCTTGCCAAACCCTCCGCACTGCATTGGAAAACCATGCCAAAACATAGGGAGCGAACCTAAGACCTTACTCACTGGGTCACCGTGGCTTCCAAGAGATTAATGGACGGCAAGAAATTTATTTAGTAATTAATCATTTTTCCATTGCATTTGAGTGGACCAAAGAGAGCAGGGATGCATACAATGAAATCAATGTTTTACACATTTCTCAAGAATGAAAAACCATGAACACTCATTGCTAAATGATATCCCTAAAATAAAAAACAAAATAAATTCTGATGTTCAGAGAATCAAAAGGCATAAAATGAAAGCAGCCTCAAAATAAAACTATAGTTTTGTTATCGTGTATTTTTGTTCGACTGTGGTGTCGATTAACCAAAATTTCAATCAATGAAAATGAAATGGAGTTGAGTATCCTACTGTTCTGCTTTGACTGGGCTATTAAAGACGAGCTTACGCCAAGGGGTCTATGCACCGGATCTGATTTTTAATCCCATCCGAACCAGTAGAAAACTGTCCTTGCCAGACACTCCGTCCTGCACCACTAGCTTTAATTAACTCTGTTCACATGTCCTGATCAAATATTCCATTTTCTCGTGAGTCACATATGCAGTTGCATTTGTAAGTAAAAATGTCTAGTATTGTACAACAGGCATTTGGGAGCATTTACACCAGTAGGAAAATATTGTATATGCTTTACACTTGCATAGATGATTTTATGTAAATTTCATCAGATATTGATCATGTGAATATGCGGGAAGTCAACAATAAATTTTCTTTCAGAAATTGAATGGGTTGTAGTTGGAAAATTAAACAACTGTGGTGTAAGGGCAGACAACCCATTTTTCCTCTTAAGGGGGGATGAATAGCACTCAACATTTACAAACTTGCCATTCTTAAAAACAACCTCATAAGGCCAATTGAAAGGCTTTCCTGCATTAAAAAAATATCTGCACAGAAGGGATAGACGATGAACATTTAAGTAATTAAATAAGTCCTCTTACGGTAGATTGATAAGCTTCAAGTTTTGATTTGCTCATTAGTCTCTTCTTCTTAAAACGATTTCCTCAAGTGGGATCAGATGTGGGTATGTGTTTCTGTATACAGAGCCACAATGGCGGGGATTTGGTGGCCGTACTATCGCAAATCGCAACGAAAGTATGATTTTGGTAGCATAAAATGGACTGCATAGTGATTTTATAACATCGTATGCACTTGAGAGAAGAAGGAAGCCACCTTTCAAAGTGGATCTCTAGTATCTATTTGAGGACATTTTGTAATTTTGTGCACATGATGCACAAATTGGCCTAAAAGAATCTCATAAGAGCTGTCTTTTTTTCAGCAGATGTGGCCACATTTGCAGCCAATCCATTGGTAACATCAAGTGAGTCTGTTGATGACAAGCCGGCAGTTGCAGAAATACCTGTATCTCCTGAGTCGCATTCCTTAAGCTCAGCCGCTGGACCATCAGAACAGTCAAACACCACACCGCCTGATGACATTTCTACTCGCCATGTAGCCCCAAGAGCTAGCAGTATGCAAACTGCACCAGACGGTTCATGTGAGTCAGTGATGGATACTTCTGATGATGAAGCACTGGACCAATCATCTACTGAGGAGCACATTCCAGGTAAAGACAATTACTTAGGTCCCCCGGTATGGTCCCCGCTCCCTAACATGGGTAATTTGACAATATTTGTCAGGAAATGGGTTGTGACCTAGCAAACACTAACTCACCATTCTCTTCTACGACAGTATAGTGCAGAGTCAGTTGTTCAGTAGCGCGTCTAGAAACGTGATTCTTAGTCAATATTCCCTCAATTTAGGTGGAGTGTTGTTGCAATGATAGACAAACTTCATGATTTTTGTCCAGATGAAAATTGGAAAAAGCCCGCCTGAAAAAGTATAAAGTTTAACCCACCGGCAACCGACCCGATTCCGCCTGTTTTGCGTACTTCCCTTGGCCCTTGCCCGCCTTACCTCCGGGGCCCCTGCCACCCCTGTCCACTCCCTCCACTGTGACGTAACATTGTGATTTGATTTGATAGGCCTACGCGATAACGTCTGATATTGCCAGCATACATTTCCGACAAACAGCTGATACAACTGGCCTGGATCCAATCCAATGTATCATAAGAAACCTATGAATAGAACATGGGTTGTGACCTGGCAAACACTAACTCACCAGGCTCTTCTCCAGCAGTATAGTGCAGAGTGGATTTTTCAGTGGCGCGTCTGTGCAACATAGTTTCTGTATACAGAGCCACAATGGCGGGGATTTGGTGGCCGTACTATTGGAAATCGCGACGAAAGTATGATTTTGGTTGCATAAAATGGACTACATAGTGATTAATTAACATCGTATGCACTTGAGAGAAGAAGGAAGGCATCACTCAAAGTGGATCTCTAGGATCTATTTGAGGACATTTTGTAATTTTGTGCACATAATGCACAAATTGGCCTAAAGGAATCTTATAAGAGCTGTCTTTTCTTCAGCAGATGTGGCCACATTTGCAGCCAATCCATTGGTAACATCAAGTGAGTCTGTTGATGACAAGCCGGCAGTTACAGAAATACCTGTATCTCCTGAGTCGCATTCCTTAAGCTCAGCCGCTGGACCATCAGAACAGTCAAACACCACACCGCCTGATGACATTTCTACTCGCCATGTAGCCCCAAGAGCTGGCAGTACGCAAACTGCACCAGACGGTTCATGTGAGTCAGTGATGGATACTTCCGATGATGAAGCACTGGACCATTCATCTACTGAGGAGCACATTCCAGGTAAAGACAATTACTTAGGTCCCCCGGGTATGGTCCCCGCTCCCAAACATGGGTAATTTGACAATAATTGTCAGGAAATGGGTTGTGACCTAGCAAACACTAACTCACCATTCTCTTCTACGGCAGTATAGTGCAGAGTCAGTTGTTCAGTAGCGCGTCTGTGCAACAAAGTGTCTATATACAGAGCCACGATGGCGGGGGATTCGGTGGCCGTACTATCGCAAATCCTGAGAAAGTATGATTTTGGTTGCAGAAAATGGACAACAAAGTGATTAGTTAAGAGCCAATTTTTGAGAAGTTCAGACAGTGAGGATTGTTGACCCCCCAGTTTTGGCTGAGGCTTCTTTTGTGAGAAGGGTATGGTACCCTAACTTAAAATCCCAAAGCGTTTCGTGATTGACCTCTCCTAACCAAAACTACAGCACCCCCTATTTTGGGTCCCTTTGGCCAAAAAGACAAAATTGCAAGTT